TCACACGTCGTTACAACTCACTGTGTGGATCACACATAAAGCTTGCAAGCAAGGCCCCACTTTGACTATTTTAGGGCTTTTGAGGCACCCAGCAACAATAACAAGGGGGCTAAAAGAAGCTATTTATTCATTCATATATATATATATATATATATATATTCATTCATCCTTCCATCCATCCATTGTGGGTAAATGGGAGGCCATTCACGGAGTCGGAGGCAAGGCATCAATAGAGAGTTCATGTTTATATTTTTATATTCTTTTATTCCACCCCTTGGAAGGAAAGAAGATCTTCATTTTCACTTCTCCTAATGGGGGTAGTACAAGGTGGCCTCATCCTTATTCTTCTACTTATTCATTCTCACTGTTTTGTTTTTTTTTTTTTTTTTCATTCTCTATAATAAATTATTCCATACACATATATATATATATATATATATATATGTATATAGGTTACCCTTCTGACGCAGAAGAAGACCATGATGGAGACATAATTGGAGTACAACTCTGGGGGGCACTTTACTCAAGCTCACTTGAGAAGACGAAGACGACAAAGAAGATGAGGAGGAGGGAGATACTGGTACACTGCAACTCTTCTCTGCCTTCTTTCTTCATTCATTCATTCATTCATTCATATTATTATTCACCCACCAAACTCATTACTACTCTCTCCTCTACCCCACCCCCTCCTTCATTCATTCATTCATTGAAGTCCATTCAATCCCATTCATCTTATAGAGAGAGACAAATGGTTTTCAAAACTCCCTTTGGGTACACTATATAGCCAGTTTAATAATCCTCCATGAAACAAACTTACTTCACATTGCAGTTATTATTATTATTATTATTATTATTAACTTGGGCATAGGGCATAGCTTTGTGCTGCAAAGTTTTCATTCACCACTCATTAGGAGCTTTCAAGCATGGCCTTTTTGGGTGATATTTGCTCAAAGTATCTCATCATATTTCAAAATATGACTTGATACTTCACCAAATCACCTACCTTCCTTGCAAGTCAGATGATTTGGAAATTGAAATATCAAACAAGGGGTGGACCAAATATCAAAAACTGTGTGGCTTGCCATAGCTCTCTTCTAGCTCTCACACTTTACAAAATATTAGGGGGTAATAAAGTTTGAACAGTGATATTTTGGATTCAATATTTTGAGTGATCTTGGAAATACAAGATGGTGACTCTGAGTTATTTGGTTTTGCAGAAGTGCCATGTTTGAAACCCCCTGTTGTGGGTGTGTGTTTTTATCATGCTATTTATTCTTTTTTAATGCTTTTACGTGTCTTTGAACTATGATCAGTGTCTTTCATGTGACTTGATCTTATAAAACTTACCAAGGGAAAGTAAAACAAAAAAAAACATTTTTCTTTTCAAATAGAAATCATAAACTTTCAATGTTTTAGTATTGTATTGGTGCTTTGACTTCTGCAGTGAATTGATTTCATATAGATCACATTGGCATTAAGATCTTATTTTTTTTATTTTTTTTGGTTGTTATAGTCAATTTGTGTATATATATATATATATATATATATAGAGGCTAAATTGTACATGTATGAATACTATATCTAGAAAATATGTTTATAAATGTGTCATGTTAAACTAAAATATTCGTTAAACTTATATATATTATGAAAAAAATTTAATTCATGTAGTAGAGATTGGAGTACATTTAACATTTAATTTTTTGAAAAAAACTGATTGAATCAAAATTTTCATTCCTGCTGAAAGAAAAAATAAAAATAAAACTACAGATTTTAAGTAAAGAAAGATTCTGTCAAATGATAAATGTCAAGTATTTAATTTTCTATACTTTAATTTTTAATTTAATAATATAAAAACGTTATTTTATGCAATAAATTGGTTGGAGAGTAACCTAAATATAATTTAGATTTTATGTAATAATTTCAAAATGCTAATATTTATCATTTGAAAGTTGTCATTCATTTAGTCATAAATTAGAGCAACTAAATATTTCAAAACACTGACTCAAGTTACCAAAGTTTATTTCATGGCATCACCACATTCAGTCACTTTTAACTTAAGATTATGAATGATGAGGGCACAATAATGGAAGTCATTCAATTTTCGAACAAACCATAATTCAAAAAATTATGCCACAATTGAAATCTATCCATTCATGTTTTATTCGCCACATACATAACATAAACAAATATAGAGAAAGGCTAGATTTTAAGCAGTTGGAATTTGATAAATCAAGAATCTCAATTATTTCACATTCAAAAGAAAAAACCTCACATCAATTCATCACACATTTGCAACCAACAAACCCTAAATTAAAAATTCATCATCAACTAATATCTATTTTTATATAAATAAATAAAAAATTATTTATTTATAGATCACTATATACAGAGAATGCATATATATATATATATATACATATCTTTATACACACACACACACACACACTTTTATTTTCCTATTGTTTATTGTTAGCTTTTTAAAGAATTCTCAATGTGGCATTCCATGAAAAAATCTGCACAGGGAGGTTGTGGATGGGTCTTAGGCACCCCCAAGGGGACTTTCCCCACCTACTTATACATCCATCCACCCTCATCCAGTCATCCTCACCCATACATCCATCCACCATCATCCATTCATTCATTCAAAGGGGTGGTTGTATCCCAAATGGAAACATGGATGTGGAAGCAAGGCAGTGCCTGGATTTGGGGCCAAGCCTCATGATACAATGATAGGACCACAAAGCAATGGCTGAACCAACCCCCAACAGTAGGGCTTGTAATGAAGATCCAGATCAGAAGGAAAGGAAGGCAGGGGTAGAGCTTTTTCTTTATGGGGATGAGAGATAGAACAGAGGAAAAATAAGCTGCACCCCTTCCCCTCTCCCCATTTTTTGCTCAGTTTTGTACCCTTTTTCTGGTGCAGAATTTACTTTAAAGCGCATCCATAGGGACAGACAGAGCCCGTTTGCATTCTCACATGCCACTCCCACTGCCCCACTACCCCCCCCCTCCTTTCCTTCCAATGAGCCTCAAGGACAGGCTGCCTTTCCTCTAGTGGGTGGAGGAAGAAGAAAGAAAAGAAAAAGAGGGAGAAGAAGCGAGAGGGGAAAAGAAAAAGAAAGAAGTGAAAAGAGAAGGGAGCGGGAGGAAGGGAGAGAAAGAAAAGAGGAAAAGGGGAAGTAGGGGGTAGGTTAAGTGAGTTAGTGAGTAGTAAGTAGGGTAGTAGGAACCGGGCACAGTCCATGCAGCCCGTCCCCCAGCTCCCAACAGCAACGTCTCGTCCACCTTTGAAAGCAGGCATGTGGAGTCTTCCTCCTCGGCATTCATTGGCGGATAAGTACCCCAACCTCTCCATTTGCCACCTGACACCCGATCCCTCCTCCTGCTCATTGGACCCCTAATTTCTCGAACCTGTGACATCACGCCACAGGTCCTCTCACTCCCCTCCCCTCAGTCCTTTCCTGTTTGTTTCATCCGACATGCTTTTACTTTTTCCCTCTCACCTTTCTTCTTTTTGCGGGTTGGGTTTGGGACACATGCGTTACAGTCCTCTTCCATCTACTATAAATTTAGTAAGGTTTGACTTGACGGTATTTTTTAGAAGAATGGAATTTGTTTTGTTTTTTGTATTTTTGTTATATGTTGTTTTGTAAAATATTGCCTACATATTTCATCCAGTATGGTGCTCGAGGTGATAAAATTATTGGTCATGAACATGGAATTGTGGTAGTGTTCGGATTTATTTATTTATTTATTCCTAATCTGTTTATCTCTCAAAGTTTAATTTAATTTAATTTAATTGGAAAATAACCACCATGCTGAAAAAGGTAGCAAGGTCATCTGTGAGGGACATGGTAACAACACCATTAAACTTTCCAAAACTATTTTAGGAAGGCTTAAAATAATATGGTTGATATTCAAGAAATAATAAGATGAAGGGTAATGTTGTGCAACCAAAATGTACATGTACTGTTGTATGGATACAAAGTTATACACTAGTAACTTGAAATTTAAGAATGTTAATTTCTTTGAAATTAGTCTTCTAAGTAGTTACAATATCGTTTTGAGAAATTTCTAAGTATGCATAATGGTATGATTTTGTAAGAATGAATATTTATTACAAAATTGTTATAATATGCCAAAACAGAGTTGTTGGCATTTCACAATGGCCCAAATGCAATCCTAAGCAAACCCACAATGATTTGCTACACATATCACTACATGAACACACATAGCATCAATCAATCAATCAATAAATCACTCAATTAGGGTCACATACATCAAATTCTCCACAATATCTCCAGTACTTACAATTATACATAATTTTATCATCTAAGTATAGGTACATAAACAACAGCACAGATTGCTCAGTAAAATCACAAAGTTCGACACAAAATAAGGGGCAAAAAGTAAAAGTCACTCTCTCGAAAACCTGATCGGACGAGTGAGATGGCAGCACAAAATTGTACGAGCTTGTCGTTCCGGCTCACTACTTGCGTAGATAAAGAGTGGATCTACGCGAGTCACCTACGAAGTATATCAAGTACCGAGAGCTGATCTATGCCCGTATTCTATCAAGTATACAGGATTTCGATAAGGTTCCAAGGAGAATAGAATAGAATACGGCGAGGCCGTAGAGGGGCTGTAGATGCTGAGTCACATGGGATTTCGTCAAAGCATGAGGAGAGCGTGGTTGTGTGAATCGTCAGATATGTCGGTGGATCGGAGACTGGCTGGGGGCGGTAGTCGTAGCCGGTCACCGGGAGGCCGGGAGCCGCCCTGCATGTTAGACAACACGCGACCGGGGCGGTGATCAGGGGGCGCAAAGTGACGCTAGATTACGGCGAGGTAAGTTCGAGGCGGAGGGAGCAGGTGATGGCTGCGAAAACCAAGTTAGGAAACGGGGTTATGGGAAACTGGGGGTACTGCAGTGGGGACCCGGGAGGAGGTTGCGTTTGGCTTCTTCTGAGCCACTACTGCGGTGATCAAGGTGGTTGTGGTTGCTGTGCAGGGGGGGGGGGTATTGTGCAAGTGCTGGTGCTGGCTGGCTGGCTGGAAGAGTGGGCTGGCGGAGCTGGTGATGTTATATAGAGCTCCGCCCCTCTTGTCTGAAAGGCTTGCTTGTTGCAACGTGGGTTCTGCGCTGCCAGTGTCCAGAGTCAGACTTGCTCAACAGTGTATGCGCTTCTAAGTTGTGCACTGTTCGTGTCTGAGAGGGCGTACATCTGTGGCATGTCGAAGAGGGACGTGAGAGATCACACCGGGGTGGGATGTGAAAAACCTTGATCCTGTTGCAGTCCCGTTGCAGCTGGTACAAGAAGAATCGTCGGTCTAGAGACTGGTCAGATCGGAAGGTGGCTGGGTCGTTGTGTGGGGGGTTGTGGTCACTGTGGTGGGGAGGGGGGGGGGGGGGGTAACTAGCTGCAACATTGAACCGGTTCCCAGATTATCTCATACTTTCAGTAGATTTGTAACGTACAGACAGAGCTGGCCGAGGAGCAGGTGCGGGAGGACGTAAAAGGTCTGCGTTTGTTGCAACGTTAGCCGTCTCGCTGGAAACACAGGTTCAATGCGAGGATGTCCTGCCGCGGCAATGTTGGGACAGTCCCAGCTATTCCGGTACAATTCCTAAGCAACAGCCAGCCTTACTAGCGGTGCAGGGGGTGTATAATCCCAGCACTACCTGGCTGGAGATGGCGAACAACATCAGCAGAGGGGGTTTTGGTCACGGAAGTTCCAATGTCATGCTTGTGCGCAACGAGAGCTCCACCGACACCTTAGTTGCCATGCTCGCTTCCTGCTCTCCTGCTGCACTGCAAGGTTTGTTCAGTGAACAGTTCTCCTCTAGCTAGATGGGTCGGCTCATGATATGTAGTGAATAATTTGCAGAAAACCACTACGGATTGATTCGGGTAACCTTGCTTCAGCATTCTGAGAAATCTGAACGTCGAAGTACCATGCGGCAGTTGGCGGTTGTGATGACCAGATATCATGTGTGTAACTGGCCTGGGTCCTATTTTTCCGTCAGGTGCTGGCATTGGATGGGGTACCGGGAATTTTTTAGTGCTGATCTGCCTTAGTTTGTTGTAGATACTCCCTGCTAGTGATCTGGTCTGTGTGCGCGATCTCTAAATATGTTACTGAAGTCATGCAATGTGCAGTTCAACGTGGTGGTGGAGGGTTGGAGGATGCGTTGGTTAGCAGTGGACAGAAGCGCTCCTTCTTCCCCACGTTCGAAGCCTCAGGAGAGGACGCAGGAGACGAGGATCTGGGAGACGACTGCACACACAATGTGGAGAAGAAGAGGAGGCTAACGTTCGATCAGGTCAGGTCGCTGGAGCGGAACTTCGAGGTTGAAAACAAGCTTGAGCCGGAGCGCAAAATGCAGCTTGCCAAGGAGCTCGGGCTGCAGCCGCGGCAGGTGGCAGTGTGGTTCCAGAATCGTCGCGCTCGGTGGAAGACCAAGCAGTTAGAGCGTGATTATGAGGTGCTCACCTCGGATTACAACCGGCTAAAAAGCGAATTTGAGGCCGTGTTGCAGGAAAAGCAAGAGCTCCAGGGCGAGGTGAGGCTTGGATAATCTGAACAAGCCTTGGATGGAAGGCATGTCGCTAGTTTTGAAGAACCTTCCAATTTTCCTGCTTTTAGATGTGTTCGCAGAAGCGCGTGACCTGCATTGGACCGCGGCCCCTCTGCAGTCTTGAAAAAACGGAATTAGTGAATCTAAATTTTCTTGTAAATTGTTGACGTATTGGCAGATTGAGTGTCTGACGGGGAAATTGCAAATATCTTCTCAACCTGGCCCGGTTGATGGTGCACCAGAAAAGCCTTCCAAGAGATTGTCGAAAGCAGTGCCTTCTCAGCTTTCGCCTCCGAAGACGTCATCTGAGGCGTGTGTGAAGTCAGAAAGGAAGCCCAGTGACCCTAACGCCAGCAGCAACGACGACAAGGAGGAAGGTTCCAGGGCTACTAGCTCGGACAGCATTTCCAGCGAGATCCTAGACGCTGACAGCCCTCGCACGACGGAAAAGTTTAACACCGATCTTGCTGCGGAGGTGCCGCTGGACTCCAACATTATACACGTAAGTGATCACCTCTGTGACCACATGCTGTATCCACAAGCTTGTCAACGAATTTCTGTGAAGCTAGAGGATGGCTCGTTTCGAGACGAATCTTGTAATTACATCCTGTCGCAGTTGGACGAGGAAAGGGGTCTACCCTGGTGGGACTGGCCTTGAGCAGTTCCTGCAGCTCTTTGGGAGAATTGTCCATTCTTTGAACCCAATTGTTGTGCGTCTCGACCATCGCCGGCCAAATCGATTTGTCCAATCTGGTGGCGACTCAGAAGCAGTGCTGAGATTCTTGATCTATAAATTGCTGCCGGATCCTCTGCATTATTCTTACAGTCTACATGTCATATATCATATACTAGACAAACCAGGTTCTGCTGTTGTAAGTCATTTCGATGATGCTAGACTGGGAGTCCGAAATGATGCAACATCAAACCAAATAAATTTTTGCTCCTGAAGACAATGCCAACCAGCCATAAATACCAGCGGCTATAGTTTTTACTGAAAATAAGGAATGGACGGATCTGCAGTGTCAGATTTGTGTCCGTGCTTGTAACTTATTACGGATTTGAGATGGGCTCCAAATACATTATTTATCCTTGCCAGCTTAGATGAACTTGAACATCTGTGTACTCTTGAAGAGAATAAGCTCGGCTTCCCTTGAGCCTTCAGAACAAGAGATGTAGACTTGTAAATTTGCAAGCGTTATTGGTTCGAAACATGAACGTGAATCTGGGTGGCTGCATTTGGTATAATAAATATTCTTTACTCAAGCTGCCAGCTGGTGACGCATTGTCAACTTTGTTGATATTGTTGTGGCCTCAGATACACTACATGCCTAGCACAGCAGCTACGTCTTGTTATTTTTATAATGCACTATTCGCATGGAGCTTTTTGTATTGGTTGGATGGGTTAATTCGCGAGTTGATCTTTATTCCAAATTACTCTTAAAGTACATAATGTAATGTAATGCTTCCCTGCTGCGATCCAAATCTTATGTCAAGGACTCTTCTTTGTGGAATTTACAAATATTATAGAGGTGCTCCAGTAAATTGATTTCAAACCATGGCAGACAAGACCCACTTTATACACGATAGTGACGTCGTGTTTCTGTACATCTCTTCCGGGTTTTAGGAGTGTAACCGATAATTAAAAAACAGAATCAAGGAGCTCCATATCAATGAAGCCCCCAATAGAAGAACTGAGCTGGTTCCTATGGAACCTTGGTGAGAGCTTGTCTTGCCCGCTCTTCTGGCGACAGAGTTGTACTGCAAGTGGTCTGACACCATGGCAACCCCATGCACAGCTTTCGGATGGCGGTGCCACCAGTCCGGAGCGCTTCCGTTGAACAGAATTCGCCAGCCCGGAGCTGACACGATAAGCTCTCGTGCTCCCACGAAGGGTCTTGGCTGGAAGTCGGTCATCAGGTGTATCTGCGATGCCCGCCCGCCCTCTCGCCCGCGGAACCCAAGCTGGGACTCCAACTTAACCTGGAGCCCTGTCGAATTCCCCATACACTGCAACCTGCCACCAGGTCTCTCTCTCTCTCTCTCGCTTTCTCTATCTCTCTCTTTCTCTCCGCCAAGCGTGCAACAAATGAAAACCTGGACACTGGTAGCTGGTCTGGGGACAAGTACCCCGTATACTGGGCACAGGACTTCAAGTGAAGGTTCCTTTCACAACTGGGGGTTGGTCTCTGATCTCTTCATTACGGTCACCATATTCTTGATCATCAGCCAGTTGGGTGGACGCTGTGTGGGGTTACAAAGGAACAACGCCGTGCGGCCTTTCCTTACTCGACCACACTCTAACATCATGGCTCATGATTCCGAGGCGTTACTTGCAAGGTTGGAAAACTTTGTCTACTCATGGCTGACTTTGCAGTCCCCCCCCCCCCCCCCCTCCTCTCACTCTGTCAGTCTCGGTCTCAGTCTCTCAGAACTAACCAAAGCATACACACGGAGGAGTCTCATGCTACTACTGATCTTTTCCTCCCTGTTGCCGTCCTCCTACGGCCATAATACTTTACCCCTCCCTCCCTCCCTCTCTACCTTTTGCTACTCAGATCCTCAACATCTTGTACACTTTCATGAAAACACAAAGAAAAACAAAAAAGAAAAAGAAAAGGAAATGAATGAGTGAATGAATGAATGAATCTATGATCACCTTTGTCCTTGGTGATATTAGAAGGCGTCAGAGTGAGGTTACTACTGTGGAGGATTGTACCAGGAGGAGGATAAGAGGAGAAATATGAGAGGACAGCACGTGTTAATAATTTATTTATTAGCTTTTAGAGAATTTATTGTCAATTTGGAAGAGTATTATGGGTTTTTTTTTTTTTTTATTATTATTTTCAATTTTTTTGTTGTTATCATTAGTATTGTTTTATATTTTGGTCTTTCAAAAATTCATCATCTACTATGAAGAGTGTTATGATCTTGATTGTGTTGCAAGTTGCTATTGTTTAAAGACTAGCAATACTCTCCTCTTGTTGCCTTGTAACAAAGTTGGAAGTATTTGTCACTACTACAAAATTTTGAGACAAGGTTATTGACAATATCAAAAAAACATCAATTTTAAGAGTTCTAACTGACAAAATTAAAGTTGTGGTAGTATAGAAACAATAGTTAGAAAAAGTAGAAAACAATAGCATAAATAAAAGTTACAAATTTGCATATGAACATTACATAATATAGTTTTTTTTTGGAACATCAATAATTAGTTGATGTAAAAAATTAGAAAATTAAATGTGTATATATATATATATATATATATATATATATAGTGCAATTCAAGGACATTCCAAACAATTGTGGTTAACATTTTTTATGCTATTGTTTATATAAAACTATGTATAGTCATGTATCTACATGTAGACTTTTTAGATTCATATTTAAATCCTTTACATTTTATATCATCTTATGTAATGCAAAAATACGCAATAACTACAAACATCCAATATTATTTTTGTACAAAGAATACATGATAAAATGTCAATTGAAAGTAGTTAAATGATATAGTTGAAGGCTTTTATTTAAAGCTTTGGTGTAACATAATAATTGCTTACATAATTGTATTTCTTGAGTAAATAACTAAAACAAAATGTGTATCTTGTTTTATTAGTAAATTTTGGAATTTTTTATCTATTATAAGGAGTTTTTATTTAATGTATATAATTTAATTTAGTTACTATAAGCAATTTAAATACACAAAACAATTTGTAAAAGCAAAGGTGTACAAAATATCAAATTAATTGTTTAGTTTTTATAATATTTGGTCACAATAAGGTTAATTTTTATAAATGTTTTGTGAACCATTATTTTATTTATAACAATAAGTTAAGTGGTTAAAAATCTACAGGAATAAGGCAATAATATATCTAGAAATATTAAATAGAAAGTTAGATTAATTTTTAATAAAAATATATATTATATAAAGTTAAACTAAAATCATAATATTAGAATTAGCATTAAATAGATTACAATCTAAATTCAAAAAAAATAATTTTTTGATTATAATAGTATATATATATATATATATATAAATATATATATATATGAAAGAGTTATTATACAACTAATTTTTTAATGCACACAATATCTAATAATTTATAAAAATGATAAATTTAATATAATTATAAAAATAAGAATCATTTTAAAATATTACTTGCTTAAAAAAAGTATACTATTAATGTAGAAAATTTTAAATTTTAATTAAATAACCTATGAATATAATTAATGATCTACTATAAAAATATAAATTAATTTTGTTTTTTCATAAAGAATTAAAAATATTTATACATTGAATTTGTTTTGCTCTTGAATTATTCTTTATATTTGATGTTTTTTAGATTTTAAATATAAATATTTTTTTTTAAAAAAAATCATTGTCTAAAATGTAACATTATAATTATGGTAAACTTGATAAATATTATTGTAATATTTTTTAAAAAAAATACTATCCACCTGACTACATTCAATTTTTTTTGTTTTTATTTTGCCAAAATTAATATAATGATACAATCAAAAGAAATTCAATTGTTTCTTGCTAAAACCTTTATGATTATTTTAAATATGGACTCATCAAATGTATTATCTAACATCAAATGTATTATCTAATATCAAATGTATTATCTAATAATGTTTTAATAATAAAATTTTAATAGTTCTTAAAATATTTTTTAGATCCAATATTGAGAGAAATTTAATAAATATGAGATAAATGATATATGTTTTGCTCAAAATAAATTGCTGATTTAAGAAGAAAGAATCAATAAATGTATGTCTAATAGTGAAAGATATGAGTTCTTTCTTTTGCATGAAATACATTAAAAAATAATGTAAATACATTTGTCTCTTACAAAAATTACTTGAAATATTACACTTACTTTTTACAATTTTAAATAGCATAATTTTATTTTTAAAATTTTGTTTTAGATCCTCTTAACAAGGTGGTTTTACAGAAGCTTAAAAAATTGTAGTAAAAGCTATTAAAATATTTAAAAGAAAATAAAATTAAATATCTAATAAATTAGTTGTTTTATTTTTAAAATTAGATTTTTATCAAAAAATTATAACTTTATTTTTAAAGGTCATGTTTCTTATTAAAAGAAAATATTTTTTATATGTCTTGTACAATTTTTTATTTTAAGAGGTTGCTTTTGTTGTTGTTGTTGTGTGTGTTTTTTTTTTAGTCTTTTGAAAACGAGTTAATATAGAAGAATAGTCACATGATAAACACTTATTTCAATCTTACTAAAAGACAAAATTCTGTTTTTATAGATGAATCTTAACAAACACCTTTTACCATATATACTTTACATTTAAGTTTGTGTGGTTTAAAGAATGCAAGATATTATAATATTTTAATCATAGAGTCTAATTATAATGAGAAAATATACAAAATTATTATCAAAATATTTTTATCTTATACATGTTTAATAAGGTATTTATGCAAATGAAATAAAAAGAATATAATATTGTAGGAAAAAATCATTTTTTAGGAAGCAAGATGATATTAAAAATATCTAGAATGCCATTTTATGAAACACAAAATGTTGTGTAGTTATAAAGAGAAGCTATAGTCAAAATCAAAGAAAGCAAAGATTATAGAATAAAGAAAGAAAAGATAATAATTGGTCTAAATAAATAAATATATATATCAAGCAGAGACATTTAAACAAAGAAGACATTATTTTAAAGAAGCAAGACTTTACAATATAAAAAATAACAGCATTACAATGAAAAAAAAAAATGCATAACTTAATAGCATAGAGAGTAGAAACTCCAACATTGGTTTTCATGGAATATGTCAAAAATAAATTATTCAATTTCTAGTTTTATTTATTTATTTTATTTATATTTCGATAGTTAATTTAAAGTAACTACACATTCTCTCTCTCTCTCTCTCTCTCTTTATATATATATATATATGAAAATAAATTTCCCAAAAGGCTCCAAGACAAACTGCAAGGGAGTCGTCGATGCCCATGCAGCTTCCTAGCAGTTACGAGGCGCATGGGATGATATGAAGGCGCTTCAAAAAGAAGTGGGAGCCACGACGCCGCAAACGACAAAAAAGGAGCCTGCCCGCCAGCCAGCCAGCCTTGAGGAGGGGAATAATACTGGCAGAGAGCGCGAGAGAGGCGGGCCCATGAAGGACACTCTGACCCTCCTCCCTCCACAGGAAGCCTCTAGAAGAAAAAAAAAGAGCACACAGTTGGATGGATGAATGAGTGGATGAATGGATGAGTGGATGAGTCGATTGATGGATGGATAAACAATATTGGGATGATCGATGGATGGATGAAGTAAGGACGAACAGACATACAGATGACGTATTGGTGGATGGTGGATGGATTGTGGATGGATGACGGATGGATGAAGTCGCGTCCTGCTCCTTCCCCCTTCCCTCATGCCAATACGTACTTGTTTTCTTCATTTGTAGTGTAAAACAATTGTATGGTAAATAATGTTTTTTTTTTCTTTCTAGAAATTAGACTATTTTTTTAATTAAAAAATCAGGTTTATTGTTACAAAAAATTATTTCTACTATATTGTTTATGTGTCCAATTGTTTGTCTTACCATTTGAATATGGATAAAATTCTATCCATTTTCATAATCACTGTAATTTTTTAATTTAGAAATTGATGAAATAAATTTTCATGTACATAAATTAAGTTACATGCATTTATGATTCTGTTAATCAAAAAGAAGAAAATAAAACCAAAACATTTGCATAATTTTGATGCCCTACTGCAATCAATAAGAGCTAGAGAATGGGACCTTTTTTGTTGCTTTGGTTGAAGTGTTTGGCTCCTTTGTGTTTTTCAATGAAGGTAGGGTCCAATGGAGGAGGTATACACCCCAAAAAGCCCGACAAGGAGGAGGAAGTGCAAAGTTGAATTGCACGTGAGCAATGGGCATCAATTCGGGTCGGTGATACCAATGAACTATTGTGCATATTGTTCTGTGCGTGGTGGTCAAATTTGTTTTTAATAACATATATTCATATCTTTAAAAACATGTTTCAAAGACACATTTCAAAGAAGAAAAAATAAAAATAAAACATTGTCATTTCAATTCATGCTCTCAATTATTTAAAAGTGTCTGTGTCTATGGACCATGTCGTTGAGGCCCCCTCAAAATATACATATATATATATATATATATATAATATGCACCATCCCCATATACAAATCTCATCAAGCATGCAGAACCCATGGATTCTACACATTAGATTACAGACAACTCATTGTAATGCATGGATAAAGAATTGCATTCAAGGTCAATGAGGCCTTGATGGAAGTGTTGAAAAATTCCCTCACAAAATGGGGTCTATCTCGGACCTTAAACTACTATACATTTAAGTTTGAGGGTCTAAAATGGGGTAAACAAAAACAGAAGTGGGGTTGCAAAAGCTTTAGGCGGAAAGTGGTTCCCCAGCATCCCCCCCTGTTATCTTTTTAGATGGGAACAAGTTTTTCATCTAGTTCCCCGACGGTTCCCCAAGGCGGGGGACGAGCGCTACTTCCAAGGCTGGAGGGGGGGCCAACGCACAAACTATCCCCCCCTCTCGCCAGTGGTGCACTGCCACATAATCCCACTGCCCGAGCCTCAAAACATTAATTGAATATGGCATCGCCTGACCGAAGCGCATGTGCGCCTCGCGTAGCTTTACCTTTGTTTATACTTTTTTTGCGACTTTAAACAAAAGTAAAAGTAGGTTGCGGTGGGGTGGGGGCAGGGGGATGAGATCCATCCAATATGTCCCGGTCCCACGTGAAGAGCCACTCCACATGCATTGTATGGGTGCCCGAGGCTGACCCCACCCACCTGGGCAGACGTGCCCGTGAAGCAATTTCTGTACTGCCCCAGGACTGTCGGGGCACGAGGAAGAAGAAGGGGGCCGCTGATGTACATTCATCCAGTATCAATGCAATTTGATTATGCGATTGTCCTTGGCCCCCATTGTTCATTGGTTTACTACTCTTTTATGGGGTCTCCCAAGCAATGTCAGGGCTATGCTTAAAGACTAGATCCAATGAAGGGAGGGCTCAACATACTATATATATGTACATGTATATAACAATGTGGTTTTGTGTGAAGGGATTTGGGATAGGGACGTACAAGATACTCTAAGTTTGTCTTGAGTGGGGGGCCCCCAATTTTGTACAAAGGAAGATTTTATAAGGCAAAATTATGAAAGAGCCCCCTCAGCTTCACCTTTTGGCAACAACAACGCACCATCGTTTGAGTGAAGATTGAAAGAAAGATATAACTAAAATATGCAATTAAAAACCAGAATTTGTAGTAGTCCCTGTTTCATGCCTTGCTGTAGAATTCAATTCCTTAATCCACGTCATTAGCTAATGTTGGTGTTGTGCATACATGTTACAAAGTTAAAGTGATGTTCTACTTGTTTACTTTTGTTTTGTTTTTTGTTTTTTTTATTTCCTTCTTCCCTGCCTGTATTTATTATTTATTATTTTTTGTTCTGTAGGTGGCATTTGAGAAGAATGTTGTCAACAACAGTTTGACAAGTGTTGCTTGTTGATTTCTTACATGGAGCTTTTTGTCATGTTGCTCAAATGTGAAAACAAGCATCACCAATATCTGTGTAGGGGCAAGTCTTGTCAATTATTGTGGAACATTAACGTATTTTAACTCTTCAGTATATTTACGCCCACTCTATTTATTTATTTATTTATTTATTTATATTATTATTTTAACAGTGAGTTGTATAAATAGATCTTGTAATTATTACTTGACCAATTTGATGTTGTTGGTTGAGGGATATGGCACACTAACAGCAAATGTTTATGCAACAACAATAAAAAGTACACAATGTGTGTGTGTGTGTGGTTATAGTGATTTCTTTTCCATTTCTCACAAACATACTTACTCTTATATTTTTCTCAATTCTTATAAAAATGCAAATACTGTAATTTGTTTAAATAAAATACTTCAATGGATTTGAAAGAAAGATATGTTGAATGGAGTCTACTGCTTGAGGAAAACACGTGCCCTTTTATTCCACCCCACCTACACACCATAAATGATCGAATGTGTAATACATCAAATAGGATAGAATGAAGACTAGGATTTATACAGAAATGAATGAAATAACAAGTTAATGCCACTTATCCGAGAAGTTGATTTCCAACTCCGCTGAACAGTGATGTGAACAAAGGATTGTGTATGTTTTGAAAGTCGATGGTGGAAATCACGTAAAGCACGGCTGGTTTCTCAAGCTAATATCAGTAAAAGCTGATTTCTAAATTTTATTTGAGGGTGGATGTCTTGAACAAGGTGGTTTCGAAATGGACAAGTTTGATTCCAAAGTTGCAAACGGAATCAAAATCCCAGTTTAAATCCTGAAAAATGGACAATAGATACGCACGTACATGTGCACCTTTACCACCGAGAACCGTGTGATGGCCTCTTCTTTGCCTCGAAACCAAAAATCCTGAGTAACAGAGCTTTGAGTCCCACCGGTGTTTTATTGGATGTTTTCCTTGGAACAAATGTTGGCTCTGAGAAATTCATTGACAGGATGTCGGGCTCTTCACCCTCTTGGGCATCGTTACGGTTGGCTGAAATTGCTGATGGTTGTCTGCATGTTTCTTGATGACAAATCTTACTTTTCCACGAGGTTTTGTAAGCCTTTCGTCGAGTTTGAATCCTGCATCTTTTCAGAGTATGGGAAGTTCCGAGGTGTTGCGAGGGCATTGTCGCTCTCCTGATCTGCTTCTTCGATTGACATGGTCTGATTAACTTGTACCTGGGCGAGTCCTTCTTGCACACCTTGCCAGAGGTTTTGATTCGTTTCTTCGGTTTGGACACCTTGCTGGGTTTTTCCTCCTTATAATGCAGTTTCGTGGATGGACTCTTTCCACCACTTGCAGCACATTTCTTGGTACGTTGTTGAATGGTTTGTAGGTCTACTATACCCAACAAAAAATGAGTCATCTTGGTAGACTAGAATACATAAAAATCACACTCATTTAGAAATTTACACCCAAAAACATATCCGTCGATTTTTTATTTATTTATTTTATCTATACTATGGCCTTGAAAGCTACAAGGTGAAGCACATTTCTAAATTCATCATATAAGAACTCAAGTCGCCTCTGCCAGTCAAGCACATAGCTGTCTGGTAGTTAAAAAGCCTCCTCTGTAGACCAGAACTGGTTCTAGAGACAGACTCACCCACACCCATCTCTACAGAGATTCGAGGTGATCGCATCAAGAAATATACCTACATTTACAGAACCTTTAATAGCAGTTCACATTGTATCTACTATTCAATGAAACAGCTTCTTCTTCCCGTGAGTTTGTACCGTCCACCAAATAACACAACTTACTTGACTTCACGTGCAATTCAGAATGCAACCTACCAACATTTTCATACCCCTGGACAGTCTCAGTGTAGCAATCAACCATCAACAAAGTGCAGGTTCCTTCAAATAGCCAACTGTAAAGTCCAAGTCATTAAGCAAAAGGATGCTAAACCTTGCCTACAAGTCCTTAAGACCAAGGGATATAAACAGTCGAGACTTTAAACTACAAGCCTACCGGAGAATTCAAGGCATACTCGCCCTCGTAATGGGGAAGCTCTGAGACACTAGAAACAAACGATGCAGCAATGGCAAGGCAGTAAGTTAACCGGGTAGTCTAAATGGAGTTTTAAAGAAGAGAAATAAGAAAACTCATCCAATGCAGACTTGGATGAGTTCAGTAAAAATCCAGTAATCCAGTAAAAGTTGGACGTACTGTAAATGTTGTGTGTGAGGCTAACAGAAATGAGCAGTTGACGGAACCCTCGAGCTAAGCAGGAGATACGAAGGACGAGTTAGGTTTAAGACCACTTGAAACAACCTGACTAACCAATGTCTTCATATTGTAAAAGTAAGAGCAGACTGCAGTGCAAGTTAATATATACTTATCAGAAACATCTGAAAACATCCGCCTGATTCGGTAAAATTTAACCCATAACATGAAGCATTGTAAACTATTTAACGCAAATTGCCTATAACATTAGCGAAATAAAATGCGGACCAAAGCCAATATGTACCCTAGTCTGAGGAGACTTAACTAAAATAAGCCATTTAGTGCCAAACATAAGTCTCGATTTAATCAAGCAAAATAAAATAAAATTCGAATTAAAATGCAGATCCAAATAGACACGTCTTCCTCATGAGAAGATACTTGATTTTGGTATTCTGATCAAGATAAGAGATTGAAAGAAAAGATTGACATGATCAAACAAAATGATGAAATCACTCACCTCCTACAGAATAGATTGAATTGTAATGAACTTCAGCCCAGAAGCTTAGATAGATCTCTGCATGGACAACCACAGTCAAAGGAGAACCTTATCAGAGGAGATGTTATGAGTTTGTAGGCTGATAAAGACAGCCGCAGAGTTTAAATGTTATAAATACTTTGATTTGGTCAAATCACACTTTGCAGGGCTGCATGGGAAGAAGCAAGACCTCGTTTAGACTTTTGTACTACAGGTGTAATCTCGATGAAGCATGTGTCCCTGAACGAAGTGATTAAGGAGATCCTTACGCCAAACTGCACCCACCTGCCACCTGCAGCTTGAGTAGCCGATTGTGTAGCGGGTCACGTAGAACCCACATTATTAATACCCATCAATGCAAAACAGGAAATCCACGAGGGAAAACCCTGCAGCAGACTTTGTCGAAGAGTGCAGCCACCGCACAAAACTTGCTCAAAAGTAACATGGCAACGGCCTAACAAAATAAAATAAGGAGAGAATAAGTACATAGTCAGAAGCTGCTTGCAATGTTACATGGTCACCCCACTCACTGTTCCTGTAACCTTCACCATTGAAGGTTAGTATCCTTCCTCCATTATGTCACAAACTAACAATTTGGGCAAATACAACCCAGGAATTTATCAAATAACAGGAGATCTACTTGGCCATGTTCTTCAAGTATTCTGAATATTTCATGGGAACGTAATTCGAATACATCACTGGATTTGCCTTCAGCTGTCCTCAGTTCCATACAAAACAAATAAGAAACTGTTAGTTACCAGGAAGAAGTGTTGTCAAAAAAATCAATAGATACAATCACTCAATCCAGCAGCAGCACTTGTTCAACAGCAAAGCAATCATTGTGAAAGATATGTAAGAGTTGCGGTCAATCAATTCGATTCATCAGAGAGTGAATGTAGCTTAAGGCATCAAAACTTTTAACTCATGACGTGTCGAGAACAGCAGACCTGTTTCACGACCTGCTTCCTCACATACTTGTGATGTTGTGAAGTGCGATATATTTGATCTGACAGAGCACGAAACTGTCACAGCCGGAAAGCAAGGAATCGTCAGGCCGGACAGAATCCGAAATAGTCCATACTTGAAAAAATAGGCTTCACGAAAAACACTCGTTTCGATTTCAAAAGGTGTAGAATAAAAGTAGGAAACGACGAAATCGTATTAGTCTGCCACTGTTAGAGGGATACGTCCTCAGTTACGAAAGAATTAGTACCTGGCAATTTCCATCGCCTTTAATCTTTTGCTCTGCTAATCCATACAATTTCAGCCTGCAACCATGCAACATGGATCATGATTATAATCATTCATCCCCTAATTTTACTATATCTATGCATACCACCATAACAGATCCTCAGGAGGATGAAAATTTGCTTGTTTCATTGATGACAAGGTAGTTTTTTTTTTTTAAAAAACCAAACAACCAAACAAACAAAACAGAACATAAAAAGATAAAAAATGAAAAATAAATCACCTGTCCGAGAGCCGCTGGTGGTCCGCAGACGCGTCCTCATAAGTTGGAAACGATATGTTTATTCGAGGAACATGCTGAAGACATACAAAGACAACGAAAATGAATCAAAAAAGGAAAGAATTCTGTTACACAAGATTCCAAACGATGTGCGTCTCAACAACAACCATAGTGACTCAGTTGTAGATGTGATAGTTTATTGTCACGCATACTGAAGAACACACCTTCATGGATCCCAGATTTGTGAGCCGATAAGCTACTTCTCTGTCCACATGTTGTTACTCTTCCGAAAGTGCCAACGAGACTTGCCTGTCATCCTCAAGGAGCGTGCATGTCTTGTGAGCTAGAGGTCGTTGAAAATTTAGACAATGACCCTGCCTTTTGTCTACCCATGTCTTCGTTGGAGCCTTCCCAGACATAAATAGTCACATGTCCGAGATTAATCCCTCATGAAGTCGAAGTGGACACTTGACCAACTCTTTCAATAATGATTTATTCTCCCTTCTCTGGAAATGCAGTCACTTGCTGGTCTTTCAATTCAAATCTGCACAAGAACTGAATCCTGGTGCAATGGAACGACATAACAAAATGAGAACCACGACTCACTATGCTGTAGAGTGTAGTTCCGCTAGATACAACTTTATGAACACCAATATTTCACACAAAGATGCTAACGAGTTCAGGATTAGCCAGTGGGGTAATAAATACAGTTTTGAACATAGGATCCGTTCCTAAGAAGTCACAAAGACACACTCGCATGAGTAAAGTTACACTTCCTCGATTTTGAAAACATTGTCTCCTCAGTTCCTGTTGCCCTGTGATGAATCAGAGGATTATCACAAGAAAGAAAACCGACCGCACCTTTTCTCTAGCGTAGGCTTGTCCAGCAGCTTCTGCAGCAATTAATTTTCGAAACTATTAATGCAGCACCTGAGCAATCACTGCGTTATCAGCAGTATTTGGTGATAATGCTGAATATTGAAAAAGAGACTGAGCTTTTTCAACTTGTTTTCAACTCTAACTTGGCTAATTCAATCACCTAGTCGATAACAGAAGCAGTGGTATCAAATTGTTTTGACCTCTGACTTCAGCTACTTTATTCACTGGTTTGATGCCGCCACGAATTCCTTTGTCATCTGCAAAGTACCCGCTGCCTTCTAACTCATATAGGACCCACCTTGCTAGATCCTCTGTCACCATCTTGCAAGATCACCTTCTGGGGTTTTTGGCACATCTAACGGCGGCATAATACCCTAGCCACTAGTCGAGAATCAATGATGCATTTACTCAAGTGCATCGACACCTAACAAATAAATCTGCCGTTGACACTGCTCAATTACAGGAATAAGTTTCTTACATTCCCTGAGAATGGCAGGCCTCCCTAATTATTGTCGGCCTTTCAAACCACGTGGTCGTTCCCATTTATTCGCGAAATATTCCTACGCCGCAAAAATCCCACGTATCTCGACTGTCTAAATGAGGCAAAACATTTCCTCACAGTTGGTGCAAAAACATTTCACTAACATATATGCTGGATACCTGCCCACAAAATTAAAACGTTATGAACTAAAAACTCGACACGCAAATCCAATTCAACTCTTAGGTATGATCAAAGCAGACCCTCCAAGTGAGAAAAAAAATCAAAACCTGAACCCGATTGTGCAGTCCATTATGAAGATGAACTCTAAAGCTATAGATCGCCGCCTCATATGAAGGTATTCCGTCCCAATCCTTGAGTGCGGCCCTATAATGCACGAGAAATAAATCTAAATATGTAAAATGAGCTGTAGCTATGCATTCCGAGACTTTCTATGAGCAGCCTTCTCACGTAGACTAGGTCAAAGATTAGAATCGGGTCGAAGCTGAGCACATCAGCCAGCAAGCCAATTTAGAGCCAAAATCACTTGTACGAGCATAAAGTACTTTTAAGCAAAAATCTGGACTGATCTAAACCTGAAAAAATGAACTAGAAAACCCACAATTCCTGGTAGCGATAACCAAAAATGCAGTCCCGATTTTTGAATTGCCACACCTCACATCACTCGAGAGACGACAGATACAGTAGGAACAAAAACGAGCACCAAATTCATTCCAGAGACCCAGACAATAGTGCGATCAATGCCGAGAGAAAGCTAAATCAAACCACACATGCGCTTCCACTCCACAACCAACGTATACTAAATTTTACAAGTTTTATACAATTGTGCATACTATCCACCCAAATTGGACCTCCCCTAGACTGAACACAACAAAGAATCCTCCGAAGCTCTCAATCAACTAAAAACCAGCCATGATATTTCAATTTGCCACTTGAAGACGGTTCATAAGGCAAAAACTTACCAATCACGCCCTCTTGACGCTCCGTCTACCATCGCCAGCAAAATTCAAGAGCCTTCTCACCAACCATAACCACAATACAAACCCCGCATCTCATTAGCCCGGTTCGATCTTTGTCAATGCCGGTCGCGGCATGAAATGTATCCAAAAATTCGCTGTGCAATCAAGCGAAAGAAGAGAAGAGCGTGGGAGCGTAGGAGCGAGGCGAAACGGCAGCAAACCACTCAACAAACAAACAGAAAGGGTAGTTAAGTTGATTCTAAGCATTGATGCACATGATTCGATCCCACGCAGCGGAAATGTGCGAAAGGCGTGAAGCAAATTGGCTTTGATGCGGGGGAAGCAGAGCTCTTTTCTTCTTCCATTGCGAATTTAAACATCGTGACGAGCGCCAGCAGGAAGAAGGGTTCAGTTGCATTCGTGCCCGACCTGTACCCGCGGTCCTAACCCACAGGAATGGGTGTAACCGTGCGTCGGAAAACCAGCGAAGCCCTGAGCCAGGTTCTCATTCCAATACTGCGCTCTATTTTGCGTTGGGATCCCACTGGTGAGTGTGTACATCCAAAAAAGCACGGAAACAAGACAGATTATATAATTCTAGAGATAATTACTTCAGATTTATATGTGTGTGTGTAATTGTCGTTTTACTTATTCTACAATTCCTTTCAGAATAAACCTGTATAGAGGAATTCGAACACAACGAACACAAAGAAAGACTAAGTGCATGAACTTTACTTGTTAGGGTCACACAATTAACTCTATTCCGAACCACTAAAACACTAAGAAACACTACAATGCTTCTTCCCGGTAACCAATACTCCTTCATCAACTGATAACAACATTGTGGAACCTTGCACTCTTAAAAGACTGCTCAAAACTCATAAATTCCATCCAACACCAGGAATAACAAACTTCATTCCAACCAATCTCGATTCACAAAATTTTTGTAATCACAGACTTCCTTTGTCGAAACACATACACAACTCTCAATAAACAACAATCATAATCTTCCATTCATAATCAATCTTCCAATAACTTCTCATATAATTCAATCACTCAATACTTCAATTACATAATCAATAACTCATAAATCAATCTTTGATTTATTCTACAGACTTACTTCTCAATATTCAAAAACTATTCATTACTCTTCAACAACAAAGACATCAAAGAAACAAAGAGGTAGCACCAAGCTTAACCTTGGCTCATGACTATCACAATCTGGCTCTTAGCTTAAGACTCTCATAGTTTGGCTCTCGACTTACGACTTTCATAGTCTGGCCTTCGACTTACGACTCTCACAGTATGACTCTGATCTCTCTTTCCTCAACCTATTTATCCTACCAAAAAGATGATCCGTCGACCAACGGATTCCAAAGGTTATCACCTTTTGAATTCTTAATCATTTATTCTACTAACAACCTACTCTTACCAACTAAACTGCCTAATTATCAGTCTAATTCTCAAGGTTATCAATAACCAACCAGTAACTTATCACAAATTTTATTTATTTATTCTACATAGCCCCACTCCTTCTTATGCAGCGTCCTCGCAAATACACAATTGTTACCTATTTAAAAACTACTTAACAAAACTCTACAAAGATACTATTTCCTCTGGCCTACCCAATTGATCATTTGCTGTATTATCGAATGTGCTTTCCATTGAATCTAGTTCCAATTGTAAATCTTCTTCTTCTTCTTCCAATCCGTCCATCGACTCCTTCCTCAACTGGTTTGAAAGATCTTCACTATACTCACCCAATTCATAGACTTGAACTTCTAATTTCAAGATCTGGGCATCACGAAGTTCTAATTGATGCTGCTACTGACTCATCCATTCTGGAACATCTTCAATCGACATTTGTGACCGACTCCTCACTGTTAACTCTTAACTGGAACTACTACTCTCAAAAATATAAGAAATACAAGAAAATGGTACTCTAGCAAACACAAAACAATACCACAGAATGACTTTAACTGGTGCCCCACTCTTATTCTTTATTTTTACTACATGGTGATAATGACAACATGTTATCCATATTGTCCGTGAAAGGTAATGAGAAATAATCTTTCTTGGTGGCCACATTAAGTTTCTGGAAATCCTGACAAATTTGGATTTTTCCATTCTTTTTCGGCACCATCACAATTGGAGAAACCCACTCACTATTCTTATTATTATTCGGGTAAATAAAACCAACTGCAAGAAGCTTGTCCAATTCTTCCTTCACTATGAGAGAATATTTAGGATTAAGGCAATGTTGCCTCTGCCGTACCGATTTAGCGTTCTCCTCTAAAATGATACGATATTCACAGACTTCAGCGGAGATACCTTTTAGATCAACATAAGTCCAAGCAAAAGCGGATTTATGATGCAAGAAAAATTCTGTCCAATAGGTCAACTTATGTTCCTTAATACCTTCATAGACCTTAATTGTCTGAGGCTTTGTTGTAGTTGCCAAATTGATAGTTTGACATAAAGATGCAATGGTGATGTTCTGTTTCAACTCCCCCGTTGGTTTAAAATTAGTCAATAACTCCGACATGTGTGAAGTACTGAATCTTGTGTCCAGAGTACTCACATGGTGCACATCATACTTGGTCATCCAATCAATACTAACTTTAGCAGAGATATTCAAATCTGTCGGATATATCAAGTACTCTCCCAGACCGCCACATTGGTACACCACTACAGGGTGTTGGTCTGCTTTCATGGATGCCTCCGTAATCGGTGCTACTGTGTTATCATTGGCGCTAAGCTTATCGTCCGACATCAAGTCAGATGTTGACAATTGAGATTCCCCGTAATAGTGTACTAAGTATATTTGTAACACCATTTTATCTCTGCCCTTGCCAATTGTCAAAGTACCCCGACTCCAATCATTCTTGGCCTTCACTTGATAAAGTTAGGGTCGTCTCAATAAAATTGGATATGATAAAGTCAAACATTATAACCGAAAGACGATGTAGTCAATTTCATACTTAACACTGGTAATTATAGTTTAAATACTCCGTAAAATACCCATTGGGTTAACTCGGCTATTATCTGCCATCCGTAATACCAATGTTGTGGGTACTAAGTGTTCCAAATCTAAAGCATCTATTGTATCAGCATTCATTAAATTGACGTTGGAACCACCATCCACCTGAACACCCGAGATCATAACACTGTCAATTAAAACATTGATGGTTGGTGCACCTGGGTCAGGATTCAAACTGACTTCACAAACTTCCTTATTGTATTGCCTATGCCGTGTTAACGATGAATTCAATGTAGAACGACACTCTGGTGCGACCGTAAAAAGTTGCTTCATAGAAAAAGAAGGCCGAATAGCATCCACATCCTTCAAAATGTCATAAGATTTTATATGTAAGGTAATACTCAATGCCCTCTTCCTTTTCATTGGTTTGAATTTAACTCTGTGAGGTAAGATATTCTTCCACCTTGGACTCAAAATTGGAACAGTAGATAGAACTTCCTTGGAATTCACGCCCTCGAGAGGATCTTTCAACGAAAAGAACATTTTTCAAACGTGTGTAGAGAACGGAACAACTCGACATGGAACAGAAGCTTGTGTAATCAAGACCTCATTGAGGTGCACAACCAATTCAGGTCTTATACTGAGTAAGAGGCCCATTTTAAGACCTGGATTGGATGTCCCCATAATTGGGTTCAATTGGCCCTTTACTTCTAGATCACCCAAATGTTGAATTGGTCCTTTTCCCTTTTGCTGACTTTTTGTAAGAACGGCTTGGACACATTCTACATGATTTACTAGAGAATCTTGAGGATCTTGATTTATCTCCTTCATTTTTCCTTGGTTTTGGATCTACTGATCTCGATTATTGAAATTGAACGGAGCATTACATTGCTGATAAATATGTCCTGACTGTTGCAATTCATACATACTAGCGCATAATCATCACTGGATTTGGTATTGAGACATTCACTAACATAATGATCAATCTGTTTGCAACGAAAACAACAAAGTGGTCTTCTTGCACTTCTATCAAGCATATTGGATATCTCCATCGGTATAAACCTATTAGGCTTATTCCATATAGGGTTAGAAAACGATCCTAGTTGTCCCGTTTGTACGGAGGATACTTGGTTCAATAATACCAATGGAACATATTGCTGATACCTCTGCTGCTCCTTCCTGTAGTTCTAGGGGTTTAATGCAGACCCTTGATTAAAATTGGAACTTTGAAAGTTATTGAATGCTCGATTTTGTCGATTAGATCGATTTCCATTCCATCCATATATATTTTTTGTTTGAACTTGTTTAACTTCCCATTGAGACGGTGGGATCATGGTCTGATTATTGAATTATTGTTGTCTTTTTAAATACCAACAATTAGCTGTTAAGTGCTTTCCTTCGCAAAATGTACATTGATCCATCATTTGTGAGGGTGAAGGGCATTCTATTACCAAATGACCATGGCCCTTACAATTACTGCACCAAATATTGGTCCTAGTATTAGTAGGCTTTTGTCTCTTTTCCTTATCCCTGACCATATTGACGTCCATTTCCTCCATTTTTTTTGTCAACTTCAACAACAACACTTCATTGGAATCTTTTGGGGCTAATATTATTGATAACTCTGTCGTAGTTAATGCTTGTTGTTGATACAAAAAATAAGGAGCATATGCTGTTGTCATATTTGGTGGTATAGCTTGTAATGGGATGACATTAACTGGCCCTTGAATATTGGCACTGGAATTGGCCATTGTTTCTAACCTCCATAGATAACTACCTATTAATTTGTTCTAAGTTGGATTTTGATAATTGCCTTGAACTGGAATCATCGTAGCTCTCCTAGTTAAAAATTGATCATAATGGCATTCCTCCCAAAATTCGGCTCTATAAAGGGATGCAGACATCGTAATGGGTTGAGCTTTCTTCACAAACATTTTTAACTCTGGTGGTGTCAAGGACAAGAACTCGATGAAAAAAAAATCCAGACAAGTGAGCCTTCACTCAAAGAAAGGTAACAAAATATAAATAAATAAGTATGTATATTGAAAGAGAAACTAGAATATCTATTGCCAAAAGTCAAGAAAATTAGAGACCCTTGAAACTAGACTAGAAACAAGAAAGGAGTTGACAAGAGTGAAGAAGGCTTCACTCTTGTCTCTATATATACTATCTAACTAGGGGCTTCATGGCGACGTTCTATAGGACCTCCAATATGTGTTGACTTTGTAGGACACATGCTTTGACTTACAAGGCAAGTTTTTCTACGTGTGGACCACATAGTTAGGTTGATCTTCAAGCTAACAACATGTGTGGCACATGGCCAACTTGTTGACCATGTTTCTAATCCAAAAAGTCAATTAAAGACACCTATGAAGTCAAAGCAGTGTCTATAAAGCTTCTAGGAAGCTTTCAT